ACAATATTAATCAACTCTCTGATTTCAAAGTGACGGATCCAGGCTTCTTGTTGGGATCACTTTGACTTCTCATAAACTAACCGCAGCTGTTTACCTTGTAGAAGGAAACAAAGGCCATGCCGATTGGCAGACATCCCTGTCATGACAATTTAATTATTTTATGCAATACTTGGGTTATCACATCAAAAGAAGAAATAAATACCCCATCTAGACGCCAACGGCATAGCTATCAGGCCACTCTGATGTAAAGTAGGAATTGCCGGAGCTGGTGAGAGCCATGGGTCACCACTGATTTATTTACTCTGGATTTATTAACTTGAGGAGGGATTAAATGATGGGGCATCTGCACCTGTCTTAAAAATGGAAATGCAAAATTTTTAATAAACAAATCCAAGAAAATCAGAGGGTTTGAAAGACTAGATTGTTCTAGCATCACTTTCCTCTGCTATCTTTAAGCAAAAATTTCCATTTGGACCCTTGAGATACCTTAAGTACTTCTAATAGCACAAAACCATGGGGAAAAGAAATATGATTGTTTTTTCATATGAAGTCCAATAAAGAGCAATTATAGACCTTACTCTTCAACTCTTAGATACAAAAGGCCAAACTGAAGAGTATCGCCGGCCTTTTAAGGGCACCTTAATCCTATCCATGAAATCTTCATTTTATAGAAGAACATGCCAACTCCCAGATCATGCAAAGCAACCACTTCTTCTGTCCAGTGAGCAAAATACAAGAACCTTTCTCATAGGGTTGTTGCAAGACTTAAATGCATTAGTGATTGTAACATACTTTAAAAGAGCACCGACTCATAGTAAATGCTCAGGACATATTACCTCTATAGTAATTACTGCTTTTGTCATTAATTTAAATACTGCAAACATGAAGGTTAAAAACTAGAGAACCCTACCACTTAATAAAAACACTCCACGGGGACTAGAACTGAGATGGAAAAAGGCACAAAGTGATGTAAAAATAAACTATTATAGCCCCTTCCTGGTGGCGCAGCGGGTTAAAGCACAGCACTGAGAATCTAAAGCCGCTTCCTCATGAGTT